TCAAAAAATAAACTAATGCTATTTCAGTCGAGAGGACTGGTCCAATTTTAGATTTCTATATTCTTCGGTATCGTCTACGTAGCTTCTATACAACAAGAATTTTTAATTCAAAACTTAAATAAATCCTATTTCAGTCGAGAGGACGGGAATAATTTTAGATTTCTATATTCTTCGGTGCAGTTTTTATATAACAAGACTTTTTGATTAAACAAGTAAACTCATTCGAAGTCAGTCGGGAGGACTGGTATTACTTTCGATTTCTATATTCTTCTGGATCGCTTCGTAGCTTTTATATAACAAGACTTTCTAATTCAAAAAATAAACTAATACTATTTCAGTCGGGAGGACCGACATTATTTTATATTACTGTTATTATTCGGGGTAAATTAAACGGTTTCCATAAAACAAAACTTTTCAGTTCAATAAATAAATTAATTTTTTTCTTGTCGGGAATCTACTTAGTTCAATTTAAAATAATGCATAATTGCAGTTCCTTTTGTGTTGTGATTTGCGACTTATACCTTCGGGATTCGTCGCTCAAGATTCAATTAAAATAATTCTAAAAAGTACCTATTCGGTGTAATTTGACTTTGTTTAATTTAATTTAGTTTGTTTTGAGTTATGGTTTTCGGCATTTTAGTTTCAGGACTATTCGTTCAGGATTCAGTTAAGAGAATTTTAACAAATACCTATTTATATTTCTTTGACTTTGTTCAATTGAAGAAAAACTGGAAGAAGACAGTTTGCTCTGCGTTGTTATTTTCGATGTTGTACCTTCAGAATTATTCGATCAGGATTTAGTTGAGAGAATTCTAAAAAATACCTATTCGGTGTTAGTTGACTTTACTCAATTCAAAAAAAAGAGACATCAAGATTACAGTTTGGTCTTGGTTATGATTTTCGAGGTTTTACTATAGGCGTTAATGTCAATTGAGAGAAATTTAAAAATGTTTATCTACAATGTTTCTAAACTAAGTAGTTTTTGTGTTATTTTGTTAGCATTACTATCAGTATTATTATCATTACTCATTCATCGTTTATGATTCGGATTACACGGTTTTTAGACCAATTCCTATCAATTTTTTACAGCGCTTTACATGGATTCGTCTTTCGGGGCATAGTTTGACTCTATTCGGTCGTTTATCTTTCTGTTTATACCTAACTTTTTATACCTTAAATTACGAGACGCTTTGTTTGGATTATTCTTTCGTGGAGTTAATTTATTTCATTCGTCGCCCTTTATTTCGGTTAAACCAGTTTTTACTTAACATTTTGAAATTCTATTCAAGATTTGTTTAATGTTTTAGAGTATATGCTTTTATACTAGTTTTTAATCTTTTCATCATTGTATTGCTAGTTATACGTCTTGTTTGCTTCACTGTCACTATTTGCCATTTTTATTTTACTCGTCTTCTTGGGCTTGTTTCAGCTATGTATGTCACATTGAATGACGAATATGGACGACATGTAAAAGGGCGTTAATTTATTGTGTTTAAATAAGAATATATCAGTGATTGTCCTCATAGAAAGTTGGGAAATGATTCTTTTCAAAAGTTTCACTTACGGTTTTTTCGACAAGATTTTCAGTTCGAAGATTTGATTATTTTAGTGCAAATATTGTAAAAATTATCAAAGAATATGAACATAAGGTTTTAATTGCTTTACGCTCCAAAGTCTTATGTTGACTTTAGACCCTATTTGGCTCTGTTTACTGACGAAAAATGTAAAATGCTAAGCTAAATGTAAAAGCTAGCTAAAAAGTGTATTAGGACTAAATTTAAGTCTAGACCTCCACTTTCCTGGTAACACTATGAGCCATCTAATGGGCTCTGTGAAATATGGCATATGTATGTACATATGTATATTCGAAACAGATGCGATTCAGAGTTGTTAGCAAATTGTCCAAAATTACCAAAAACAATTTTTGCTTTCTAAATAATCAAATACATTATATGGATAGCAAGTTATTTTAAATAGCTCAGAAACCTATACGAACCGTGTAAGCTTGAAAGGAGCACAATAAAATATTCGTAGCTTTAGGTCTTTAGACTTTTTTCACTTGCAGATTTTTGAGAAACATTTCTTTAGATGTAATTTTGGCTAAGAGAAATTTTTAAAACTTTTTAAAGCATTTAAATTTTTAAGATTCAAAGTATGGGTTACAGCAAAAAATTATCTCTGAAAATATTGCGAATGTTCATTCGAATCAAAAAACCTCTAATTTTCTTCTATATTAAATACTTAGTAAATATATCCCGAGTCGAAAATATTGACGAAACGGAAAGTGTTATCCAGTAAAGTGGGTAAGTTCTTGTTGAGAATTTGCTGATAAGTTTTTAAGTCAGAACTAAAATTTCATTTAAGCATGGCCACGCGATGCATTTATGTAAATAAACCTAAAAAATATGTCGAAAAAACTGGAAGTGAAACTTAAAAGAGTTGTTCTCGCTACGGAAACTTCAATGGCACTCGTCATTCAATAGGGCAGGAGTTTTGCTAAGTCGGTTATTTGCTTTTGGTCTCACACCCCTATTGCGAGTGTCGGCTTGTTGTAGATAAACGACTATTTATTATTCGATTATCCATGGTATTTTCGCTGTGGTTTTCTCGTTCAATAAGTGAGTGTGAATTGCTTTTAGTCGCTCATCTTTCTACAAACAAACAGTTATAGAAGGGTGAATGACTAAAAATTGTTCACAGTCGCTTATTGAACGGGAAAGCCACATTCACAATACCATGGAAAACGATAATCGAGTAATAGTCCTTTATCTATTACAAAGCCCACACTCGCAATAGGGGGGAAACTAACGGTCTCACTAAACACAAGTTGAAATTCGAATCGAAACCGACAAATTATGTAGCCAAAAATATGGATAGTGAAAACAAGCCTTTAAGGTGATCTCATTTCACAAGTACAAGTTCTTGACTGATATTCGGGATTGAGAAACTTGTGAATATACTTTATACCGTCCTTTTTTGTTAGTCTTATATTAGAAATACCCTAATATTTATACAGGTTTAAGTAATTTTTGCACCTTTTTACGTAGTTTCGTTTATAGAGCGTTGCATTTTTAGCAGATTTTAATATATGTTATTGGGTAATTTGATAAAAAAATTTTTTTTCGTAATTTTCATTAGTCTTAATTTTAAAATACCCTAATATTTATACAGTTTTAAGTCATATTTGCAGAGTTCGAATATTTGGATTCGGGGCGCTGTTTTTTTCAGACTGTTAAGCTTCATAAGTTTATGCGTAGTAATGTTTCGTAGCGGGTTAAGTTTCTTGGTACATTTACAGATAAAAAAAAAATTAACCGGTAAATAAAGTTCTTTTAAATTTTTAAACCCCTCTCGCATTTTCTTCATTCTTGTAACTGGTAAATTTAGCCGCATGAAATACATATGTAATACCAGAATTTCTACCTGGTATTGCGTAATAAAATTTTGTGGTTGCAGTATCATCGTTAGACTTGTTAGGCACATTTTCTTGGGTAAGTTGATAAAAAAAAAAATACTGGAAAAAATATTAACAATCTTTCTACATGTATATAAGCTCGTTATGCATTATTTACGTAAATGTATAGTTTATACTCACTTTGGTTGATTGATTGGCTCTAGATAGAGAGTTTAATTAAAGACTTAAAAGGTTGGGGAGGATTTGTAATTTATTTTTACCTTAGTTGTTGTTTTCATATTTTTTTGAGGTATTTTTTTTGGTATTTTGTTTTCTTTTCTTCTCCTTTGTTTTATATAAGCTTTTGGTTCAGTGACATATTTTAAGTGAAAAATAACGCAGTTTTGAATAACATAATTTGTGAATGACCAATAAAAGCATAAATGTTAATAAATTTCATTTACTATGTAGTTAGGTTATGGCAACTACAGTATATTCTTCATATCATTCAGTGCCTACAAATTTCTATATATGTACGTATATAAGTATTTTTAACTGTTGTTTTCACTTCAACGTTTTTGTTTTTTCTTTGTTTTATAAATTGTGTTAAGGAGTTCTTAATTATTTCTCGCAAATATTGGGGAGCTCAATAAATGCTTTTTTAAGTATGTATGTATTAACTAAATAAGTGAAACAATTATACCAATTCTGCAACATAGCATTCCTCTACCGTTGATGATAAGGGCTTTTTTTTGGCAGTAGAAGAAACAACAATCTCGCAGAAGAAGAAGAAGAAGAATGTTTAGCCGCAAGTTCTATAATTTCTGTAGATGGGTATGTAGGTTATCGCTTTGTCTTCAGTTTTAAACGAGCTCTGCGCCTATGGTCAATTATTGTGTTTTATATTGATTTCAGAGTTCTGACTTTCTGCCTTAGCAGCAAACTGCAATAACATTTAGTTATTTACATACAGTTTGCATGTGTAGTAGAGAGCTTATAAGCGACAAAATTGCTTTTCAAAGACGACGACGAATAACTATAAAGTTCAAAGAAAGAAATATGGTTACGATATATACGATTGTAAGAGAAACTTATGAATATAGATTTAAATTATTTTAGAATTAAAACTATTTTTCTAAATCTATGGTATTTATGTATGTATGTGCTTTTGTTCGATATTATATAGCGGTTGAGTTGAGTTTTTATGAGTTTTCGTTATGAAGTGATGTAAAACAAATCAGGATAATTTGAGCTCTATGGAGTAAGTGAATTGCTTATTGCCTATGGTAGTGTGAAGTACAAAAAAAATATATTGTTTCGGCATCCCATAAACTAGCAGATAGAATTTAAAAGTACCTCGAAGCGCTGTAGAGATGTTTTAGAAGAAAAACCTCTCATATGGACGTGGATGGTGAAAAACAAATCGGGATAATTTGCGCTTTATGGAATAAGGGAGCTGCTTATTTCCTATGGCTGTATGATATACAAAAAATGTGGTTTGGCATGCCATATACTGGCAGAGAGAATTTAGAAGAACATCGATGCGCTGTAGAAATGTTTTAGAAAAAAACTTTCATATGGACGTGGATGATGAAAAACAAATCGAGATAAGTTGAGCTTTGCAGAATAAGTAAATTGTTAATTGCCTATGGTAGCGTTATATGCAAAAAAAATATGGTTTTATCATGCCATATACTAGCAGAGAGAATTAATGGAACATCAATGTGGAGTAGAATATTTTAGAAAAAAAATTTAATATGGATGGGTACGTCAACTTGATAAAAAAAATATTTAACTTAATGTTGTAGAAAATTGCTATGAAATGTCATTCCGTAAATTCCTAAAAATGGAGTGTTGGTATCGAAAGTCCTTGCTTAATTAAAAAAAAAAAAATACGAATTTTGTGGAGAAATACGCAAGTAGAATGGAGAAAGAATAATCTAAGAAATGGGAATGGATTCTTTAGCATTTTTCTAGTGCATACTGATCAATTTATATGCCTGAATAAGAACTGTATCACAAAAAAAGGCAGCTGCTACTGATCAATTTATATGCCTGAAAAAGAACTGTATCGCAAAAAAAGGCAGCTGCTACTTCATATGTATCGTAGAAAATATTCTAGAACATTCGTCGGAGAGATCTTCGTAAATGTGTATGTATACAGGAAACTATTCATATATGTATGAGTGTAGGTATATATTAAATATATAGTATGTATAACAGCAATAAACTACGCAGCTGCATTTAAAATAATAGCTTGGAGTGAGTGAAACGAAAGTAGACTTGTGTGGTGTGGAAACTTTTGCGTATACACAAAATTCGTCACCAGGTAGAGAATCACGTATACATAATTTTCGTACTAAGTATATAACTATGTATCTATACATTATGTATACATATGACTGAAAAAAAAAATACTTGTGATACAGAAGTGCGCACCTAGTATGGAAAATTCCAATTTCGCAACGCGGCGTTAACAAATGGCAGTTCAGATATGTACGACGCAGTTTTTAGATACGAAAAAAGGTATGACTCATATATGACGTTAGGAGAAAAAAAAATCTAATATATCAATTATATAGGTATGTAGGTATTTAGGTACGTAAAATATAAATCGTTAAATATATAAAATTGTCTAAATATTACATATCTACATATGTATATGTATATATAAAAAATTAACGCCAGAACACTTTTGTGTACCTTACTCATTTTCCACATCCATTTGTGGCCAACACACACACACACACACTCCTCAACGCAGTTTTCTGCCTTCGGCTGTACGTGTTTGCCTGCTTGCCTTGCCTGCCTGCCTGTATGTCTTCACTCAACAACACATTCCTGCCTGGCCTGCCCATAGATTCCTCTCAGTCAAGAGTACATCTCAGTCATCCTGCCTAAACAGATCCTAGCAACGCAAAAACTTTCCTCAGCATTACGTCAGATCTTTGCGGACAGACAGATATGTATATGTACCAGTTATGGTAAGCCAGCAGACCAGAAGTAAAATTCCATGCGTTGTCTTTTTGCCTAGCCTCCTCTCTTAGGTAATGTGATTTCCAAATATGCTCAATGTACTCATTGTATAATAACGCCATCTCAGCTAACCGGGATCATCTTCCTCTAATAAGACTTGCAACTTCTTCCAAAAACACCAACTTCCGTTAACCATTTTTGCAGACTTCATTTTTCAACCAATACTCAAAAAGCACTGTTCTCTTCTTTGAAAACCGCTGAACCCAAGCAAAAAAAAACAATTTATTCACTTTCTTTAACTTTTAACACTTTTCAAGATTTCTTTCTATAAACACTCTGCTGCACGGCCAAAGTACAAATGTTGGCGTGCTGGCTAGCGCTGCCCTATTTATACCTGCTAGCTGTGCAGCTCAGAAAATTCGTGAAAATTCTACTAGCGATAGTATTGATTTTCGCTTCAAATCTTCCGTTTCGCTTTAACATATGGGTATTTTATGAGTCGCCTTTTCTGCTTTGTGTGGCACGTATTGAATACATATGTACGCTATGTATATACTTTGACGCACACGTATTTGTTAGCTGTGTTGTGTGTGTCTTATCGGCGAATAAGCCCAGCCAACCAACGGAGTCCGCAAGGTATACAATTTTGACTTCCTGTGCGGTGCGCTAATCCTTCTAGGGAAGCTGTGGAAAGATACCCTAAGGAGCCTATCCGCCAAACAAAAGTGCCTTTTGAATATATTTAAAAAAAAAAATGTGCCAATAGGACTTCTTTGAATGAGTGATTTCGGTGTTCAAGAAAGCTCACACAGATAATCCGCAAAGACTTCGTGCGTCTAGGATTTTTTAAGAGCACTCCTTAAATCATCCGAAGATAACATAGACGCAGTGCTTTCGTGATTCGAAAAAGGTCCGAAGAGGAGGCTCAAAATGCTCCTAGTTTTATTTATAATTACAGTAAAACCCGCTTAAGTACCTCACGAAAAATTTCACCTTTTTGAGTTACTTAAAAGAACCCGTTTAAGTACGTCGATACGGGTACTTAACCGCTCATAAATATTAAAGTAGTTACTTCTTCTTGTTAACTTAAATTAATAAATCCTCGAATAAAACATGAACATTTAATGAAGTATACGTAGTTTACAACCAAGATTGTAGAATTATTGAAACACATAAACAAAAACTTTATAAAGAAATCGATAAAGCAATGTTTATATTTAATAAGAATTCAATTCTTTAAAGTCATTGATTATACATATTTATAAATACATACAGTGGTGGACATATCTAGCATTTCGGAGCAAATTCAAAATGATGTTCGCCACTTATAACTATTTAGTAATTTTTAAGGTTTTTCAATTAAAACACAGTTTGTTCCCTAACAAATGCCTTATAAAGGGCTGTTTGCAGCTCTCAAGAAAAACGAAAAATCCTAATAAAATAACGTACAAGAAATGGAAAAGACATTTTCTACTGTCAAAATTTCTTAAATCATTTTGCATCTCTCAAGAAAAATATCTTAGGGTATTTATTTCTTCAAGAAAATTTAAAGCCAACAGAAATAATGAAACATATTTCTATTGAGTGCTGCAAACAGCCCTTGAAGCGAAGCTTAAAATTTTGTAGAACACTGAAAAAAAATCATCAAATTTTCAACAAAATTTCAAACTTTTTTTTTCAAAAGTGTTATAGCCCATTCAAAAAAAATTATAAGTAAAAGGGTAAATGGGATACAAAAAATTGGTTGGGTAAATAAGCGGCGAGGTACTTAAGAGAGGGATTTTCTTCAGATTACATTAAAATATTCACGGTGCCCAAAAATGTTGGTTACTTAAGCGGGTTTCACTGTAGTAAGTATTGTATCATTTTTTTTAAGTTTTCCTTTTTATTGAAAACCACATTAAATGGTATTTTATATTGATTATTAATTTTCTGGATAATCAAAAAATTTAAACGGAGAAACTAATAAGGCTATTTTGTATCTTTTTTCATAAGTTTTTTTTTTTTTGAGGTTTCAAACCATTTTGCGCTGCTCGATTAAATTCTTTGACAGAGCCAATAAAATTTATATTAAAAAAAAAAAATTCTAACGCTAGCCAAAATTTATTTTGTACGCCTTATTTTAAATCCCTAAATCTTCGCTACTGTCATAACGTCAACAGCTTTTTTACGGTTTCCCTTTCCTGAAATATTGGATTCGTTTTTTTTACGAGTTTTCGTTTACCGAACGCCAAGCGTCGAATATCGACCGCTTTGTAGAGCACACTAATTTTTTCAATCAAATTCTATTCAATTGAAATTTGTTCAGTAATTTGACTGCATTTGGCTGGCTGGGTAGTAGTTTGCGTGTTTTGCTCTTTTAAGCGAATGAGATAATACAGCCAAGCTGAACTGGTGCAATACATAGGCTATTAATGCGATGTACAATGAGCTTTTTTACGTTTCAACAATAAAAAATGTTTTGATTTCGACTTGTAAACGGAAAATATTTTCAAAATTTAATATTTTAATTTGTAAACATAAATTTTCGGATGAAAAAGAAAATAACAAATAGAATACGTACCTAAGTACATATGTATAAAAATATGTATGTATCTACGAACTCTTTTGTACGCTACCCAGCAAACATTTTCGGTCCAAGATGAGTCTTCCGTTCCATTTCAATAATTTCAATTATATATAATCGCCGAAGAATCGTCACACGTAAACTCTGTCTACCTTGCACCGAGTTCTTCCATAATGGGGACCTTAAACGGTCAAAATTGCGTGCCTGTGTAATTTGATGGTTTGACTTATACGCGTCAATAAAATTTCTGTTTTTCGTTTTTTTTTTTGTTGAAGTTGCATCGTCACCGGAAAATCAAAACTGGAATTTGTATTAATTTATTAATTCGAAAACAAAGTCAAACTATTTTTCCATGCTTATCGTTTATTTAATTTAAATTCAAATAGCACCTTAAATGGTCTTCAACACAAGTCAAACGACCATCAAACTTAATTAATACCAAAACTGCTTTGATGTTGGCCAAAAATACATCAAACTCATGTGACACACACAAACGAAATTCCACTAACACATACATACATGCAATTTGATCAAAAAAGTTGATCGTGTAAGGTCCCTAAAGTTTTACAGTCGTCTCGTAGAAGCATGTAAGTCTTCGATGACTCATTTAAAAAATTCATGAGCGAATCGTTACCAAATATATTCTGGGACTCTTCTAAATTTATTGGCGATTTGTTATTTATATTCTTCCGCGACTATTACGAATTTTAAGTACTAAATACTGATAAATTTTAATTGTCATCAAAAAGCTGACTGGGTTTATGTATATATGTACATATCTTTGTATGTATATATGTATATATATATATAGTTTCATGTAGTACATATATGCATAAATAAGTACATACGTGCCATATGTGTCATACATAATATACATAGGTGTGTATTCATTTCATATGTGTTCGCTTTAAAGATTATATTTAGCTCTTTTCAACTGATGGAAATTTCCTATACCTATATGAAAGATTGAAGAGAATCAAATACAGTGGATATCTTTTTTGTGATGCGCTACAACCGGGTGGCTGAGTGTTCTGGAAATTTTCCACCCGGTTCGATAACATTCTATGTAATACTTAGTATACTTAAAAATAAAGCATCAGTGTACGAAATAAAGGTTTTCACAACAGACAAATTGGAATAATTGGTTCTAAATACTTTTAAAATTTCAATTAACATTCTTTGTAGGTATATGGACATTAATGAAAAAAATCTCGACTTAACAAGCTATTGATTTGTACATATTAAATGCATATGCGTGTATCTTAGGGTGGTCCAAAAAAAAAGTAACGTCAGAATTTTAATACTCCCATCCCTTAGGGTTGTTCGATATTGAAAAAATATACCAATATTTCTTTTATTTTTAAATCAAAAAATATTTGCAGGGGAAAAGCACTTTTCGTAGAAATGGTATGGAATTCCTGAAAATCAATACTTTTCGATCGAAAAACTCTGGTTGTCGTCTTGAGATTTCTTATAACAATACTCAATAGTTTATTTAACCATTTTTAAATACTAAAGGTTTTTTATTTATACCCACATCGCATTTTCTAAAATTTTCTGAGGGTTTTGGCGGACCTATAAAATATAGTTACTAAAAAAAAGGGCCAAATAAATAACTGGGTAATATTATTGGAAATCTCCTGAAAAGAAATAGAGTTTTCCGATCGAAAAATATTTATTTTCAAGAATTCTATACCATTTCTAGGAAAAGTTGTTTCTTTGCCATATAAAATACATGGAAAACTTTAAGCGCTTTGAGCGATCTCTATATGTTTTTTGATTTCAAAATAAAAAAGTATGGGTATAGAACAATTCTAGGGGGTAAGAGCTTGAAAATTCCGGCTTTACTTATTCACATATATTTTTGGACCACCCAGTGTATATACTTGTACAATGTACATATATCCAAATATGTATGTTTTGAGAAAACGTCCCTAAATGTATGCCGCGCTTCAAATCATCAATGCGCAGTTACGTATGTCAGTGTTCGGACCACTTAAATGCGACTCAGGACCAAATCACTCGTAAAATCGGAGAAAAAACAAAATTTCCGCAGTAGATTTTCATTTTTTATTTTCGGTTTTCTGCATATCAAAAACTTTAAAATTTTGTATGAACAAGTTTTTGGCAAATTTGACTAGGGGTTCCCCTAACTAATATTCTGCGCTGGTATGTAATAAAAATTTAGTAGCCGGTAAATAAAGTTCTTGTCAATTTTTAAACCCTAATTTTTATTACCACCTCATATGCCGATAACAAAATATTTCCCCGTGAAATATGCAATGCCAGAATTCCCACAATTCCTCATAGCTGAATTGCTGAGTATTTTCACTGCATTACCAACTACCTAGAATCGCGGTGGCAAGAACTGGTAACATTTTTTGGTAATAAAATTGCCCGTTTACAAAATCTTCGGTAACGTGCGGAATATACCTGTTATATATAGGAACTTTAACTGAGTTGTATGAAATTGAAATCAGTTAAATCTTTTAGTAAAACTCGAATCAATTTAACAGCCAATTTCACGAAAGCAACTTCAATTCAAAATCATTTAAATTTTTTGAAATTTGACAGAAAATAAAAAATAATTTTTCATTTAAATTGCTGGTGAAATCGGCTATAAAAGTAATAATTTGAGTGTTTATATAGGTATGAAGCTAGAAGTAATTTTTTATAAAAGTAGAACATACTTACGTATACATCAGAGCTTTTGTAAAAAGATACCCTGCGAGCATTACACCCTGGATCTTTTCTACTTCAAGAAAGGTTACTCAATAACGACTTAACACGTTATCCAAGTTGTTGACTACCT